CTTTTATTTCAACCTGTTTTGAGTCTGAATAACTTCTACTGGGAATCTTCATGAAATGCGAGGCTGCTGTTCAATGATCAAAGCACCGATCAAATGGAAACCTGGATGTTTAGAAAGATCAAGAGGTAAACAGTAAGCTTCGGATCTGACGTTGCCTTAATTTCAGAAATAAACGTGACTCGTCGTCATTAAATTCGATGATGGACATGACCCGACCATTTATGAATCCGAAAGGTCTCAGTTGGTTTGTCACGGCTCTGTTCGTCGTTGGTGATTTAGCCGGTGGTGGTTTGGTGGCCTTGCCTACGGCCATGATCCAGTCAGGTAACAATTTTTTCTTGTACACGTAGCGATTGAAAAATGCTCTGCCTTTCTGGTCGCCTCATAGTAACAGTTTTTGATCCTAGCTGCGTTCACCCACTTCGCAGTCTTGATTGGATTGAAAAATCAAACTTTTGCTGCGGCTGGCATTCACCCAGGAATTTCAGATTGTTGCCATGTGTCCTTAAGCTGACGACTGCTCCTTTAAACAGTTGCACCGAGATCTTCTTTTTTCATATGAAATCATTTTACACATGCTCCTTCATTATCGAAGGAATGCTATTATAAATTGGCTTTGAAAAGCATGAGCAAGAAGCGTAGTCTACCAGCCAGTTCTTGTTAGGAGACGCAGCTTTTCAGAACGAACGCAATAGTGACTTTCAGTTTGTTGCTCTTGAAACGTTCTCTGAACGTCTAGCAAACGCTTGATTTCACTCAAACACTTTTGGCTTCCTCCTACTCCCTCACGATCAGTAAGGCTAGTGTCAGAGTCCGCGGCCCGTCGCGCGATCGCAAAAATCGCAAGTGCCCCATTTGAACATTTGAAACACTGAATATGAAAGTAGAATCATGAACAGTCGTCATTCAACCATCACCATCAAGCAGAAATGGCGGCGGGATTGGAGAGCACCTCGCAGTATTGATCGGGCACTTGTGATTTCTGTGATCCGTCGCGCAAATCGCGCGACGGATCGCGGACTCTGACACCAGCCTTAACATCTATGTATGCTGCCCGAACAATGTTGGTCATACCATCATCGAAAGAACCCATAGAATCAGCTTTGACAAATCATCGTATAAGAGCGGAATTGGTGTGCAGGTCGATTTCGCTGCTTACCACACGCAAGGTTAATGGATGAAATTCCGGATCGTACGCCGCCCAGCAGGCACGAACACTAATTTCGATTGCGTGGTCCTGAATCTAATTGTATAGGCCGAGTCGTATAAATATGATACTATCATCTTTTAGGCGGAAGTGGTGTAGTGGCAAGTGGCACGCTTACCGCAGTAGAGGTCCAGGGATTAAATCTTGGGTATTGAGTCGCCCAGGCCATCGTATATACGATAAGAAAGAAAAACCATTATAAACAAAATAATAGATACGGTTCGTCTCACTCCTTCCTCAGACGAACCTGATTATTTCGTAGCCTTCCATCCTTCCAGGGTCGGTTAATTGGTACCAGACTTGTCTGGGAGGATAAAAAACACTGACTTGTCCATCGGGTGGCCCCGCAAGTCATTGTATAGGCCAACATCGCCATTCAAACGCCACTACGAATGTACAAATGAAGTAGATCCCATCCGCTTCCGCATCCCAAAAAGGGATCAACGGCAATTGCTTTATCCTATTCTATCATTTTTCGATTGAATTGTAAAGTATGGCGCATGCTAAAAGAAACTATAGGACGCTCTGTGATTCATTTTCATCATTTCGTCGTGTTGGAAACCCTTGCGTGATTTCTCGAAGCCTTCTCAATCAGCGCAATATCCCCATGTTCGTGATATGGGAAAGACTATTATCTCGATAAGTCAAAAACTGGAATATATTTTGTGCACATTTAACAAATTCACGACAACGCGCGTTTAGGCGTTTTGGTCGTGTGGGACGGACGCGATTCAGCTAGCGCTCACATCAAATCCGTGGATTTTTGGCTCGTAGAAAGAGTACAAACGCATGAATGACGCGAAGTTATTTCAATAAATCCTACTATATATAAGCGGCTAGCGTGTGTCTGTTGGTGTGTGTGTGTGTGTGTGTGTGTGTTTGACCGGAAATTCATAGCTCGAGTCACAGTAAATGATAGCGCAGTGGTTCTTACATATGTTATAGGGGGTGGGATGGGGACACAAGTGGTACGTGATAGGAACTGATAACGACTGATAATAGCTGATAAGAGGGGCTAGAAAGCGAGCATCGCCAATTTCGTTTTGCCGTTCATATTGGTAAAAGAGCGTCTATACTTACAAGTGTTATGTGGGCGGTCCCGGGACATTGGTGGTACATGATTGGAAGCGATAGCAACTGATAATGGCTGATAAGATGCGCTAGAACGCAAAAGTCGTCAATCCTGTCAAGGAACTCCAGTTGACACCAGAGCAACCATACTCGCAAGTGTCATGTGGGGTGGGACGGGGACATTGTTGGTGGGTGAGAGAAAGTGATTGCAACTGATAAGGGGTGATAAGGCGCGTCAGAATGCAAAAGTCGTCGATTCCGTTACCTGTCTCGCGTTGACACCAGAGCAACCATACTTACAAGTGTTATGTGGGGTGGGACGGGGACATTGTTGGTGGGTGCCAGAAACTGATAACGATTGATAAGGGCCGATAAGGCGCGCCAGAACGCTGAAGTCGTCGATTCCGTTGCCTGGCTCGCGTTGACACCAGAGCAACCATACTTACAAGTGTTATGTGGGGTGGGACGGGGACATTGTTGGTGGGTGCCAGAAACTGATAACGATTGATAAGGGCCGATAAGAGGCGCCAGAACGCCAATTCCACGATATCCATAGAGGGCGTCCCAGCATCAGTGAGGCGTTGGTTCGAAGAAGTGTTGTGGGGGGGGGGGGTATTGCGGGAGCATATATGGTGGAAAAAAGGAAGGGATAACGGCTGATAAGGGCCCATAATAACGATATGCGCAAGAATATGGAGGTCACTCAAAACCAGACTTTAGATAAAGCATTTCATTTCAATATTCTTCCATTTGCGTTGTTATCACCAGCCCGAAATACCACTAAACCGCTATGCCCCCCAGAGTTCCTAAAAATGTATGGTGTAAGTCCAAAAATACGATAACGAGTGCTGGATGTTTATATTTTAACATCACACACAATCCGACCGCTAAATTACACTGGCATTCGATGCATGGTGGTTGTTTACAGACACCACTTTAGCTCCGCACTCAACTGCGCGTATCAAACGGTGAGCTTCTGCTAAGATAAAGGAGCTCATGTTAGCGGTGAATCTAGCGCTTCGTCGACTGTCCTGTCTCATTCCGACCTTCCGTTTAATGCGCGCGGGAGCGTGCGGCGTCTCAAACTTGGGTTTATCAATATATTCGAAAGTGCCGAGAGGTATCGAATTTCGACTTGAACAGACGCGTACATGGCCATTGAACAGTGCAAAAACGGTTATTCCAAGTTCACTGCAGCAGCGTCGAAAAGTAGTTTCACGCACGACCTGGTCATCTAGTATGTAGATTGTAGTAGATTGTATTTTTATTAGAAACACGTGACTTGCCATCCGAGCAGCTTCTCATTTACCGCTACTACTTTTTTCAACCATATGCTTATGACAATCGAATGAAGAAGAAGAAGTAATTGAGCCTAAAATTCAACACGCCTCAGAAAACCTTTTCCAAAGTAAAGCAAATCTAACGTCCCTTCAGTTGGGCCAGCATGGCCTCGAGACCCGTAATATTAGAACCCTATTTGCATTGGTTTCCTATCGAAAATACCAAAGAGTTAAGACAGCAAGGCGACTTGCAGGCTTGCTATTATGTAGGCTGGACCGGCCATATATTCTGCCACACTCTTCCCACGAGTGCGCTCTGTGTCTGGCAGCCCATATTGCGGCTGCACCCGACACGCAAAAGTGTTAAGAGCACGTGCGACTTATTTTTTGCAAATAAACTTAACACAAAACTGCACCCAACTACCTTCTTGATAGACTGAATTGTCCCGGAGACACGAACGTTCAACATTTAGCTTCATCTGCGTAAAAAGGTCGTAAAACAAAAGATTAGCTTATTGGCATGATAGTGACGATTTCCGCGGCAAACTGATAACAACAAAAATTGCTACCTATGAGAAAAGTTGGTGGGAAAAATCAAAGTTAAGGGGTACCTTATGAGGATTTGCGCCGAACGGTGCGCTAAACGTGAGTGTTTCGTTAGGGGGTGTCTCAGAAGTTGAGGACTACATCCACATTAGCAGTTACAATAATACCTACCGAGAAGAAATATGATCTTTGACTTGGGAGATGCCAAAATCATGCTTGGAGTTTGAAGGTCGACATGGCCGGAGAGCGCTGCGGTTTCGATGCCGTTATTGAACGTCACTGGTGGACTAGGTCCTACAGAGCGCTGGGGTTTGAACGTCACTGGTGGGCTAGATCCTACAGAGCGCTAGAGTGTGGTTAGGATCACATTTCAACGACCTTCCATTAAAAATGTTCAACGATGTCATTAAAGCCGAATCGCCTTCCAGCCATCGGATTTCCTGCCGTTATGGAGAAATAAAATGTTGATCCCATCATTTGCCATCCTTGGTTTTGCTTAGCTTAAAGGCATGCCCCATACCCCAGGATCACATTGGTGTGGCTCTTGCACACGAATGCGAATGTATTGGTGCGAAGTGGGCCGGCAGTGAAGAAAAAAGGAAAAGAATCCGTCGAAAACGCTCAGGTTAAGGGCACACTTCCGATTAGGAGTGAACAGACCGAGGGGAAGCGTTTAAACGACCTCGGCCTGGGCTGTGCCAAGCAACAGATCCATGTAAGCAAGTTATCGAATAATGTGTGCGTATTGATCGACACTTGAAATTCTACTTGGGGCACAGAATCCCACAATTATTGATTTATTAACTCATTTATTTGTTTATATACTATGACTTCAAGAAGAAACGTTTTTTCCACTTTCCATTCAAAATACATACAAATATGAACTACGGATTTTTTTCCAGAGTTTTACCCCGGATTGGGCATTTCTGTTGTCATGATGGCGGTCGTCACCTATACGGCTTACGCACTGGGACTCAGCTGGAATATTCTACTGAACACATGGCCAGAATATCGAGAACATTGCCGGAAGCCATATCCGGAAATCGGTTATCGAGCTATGGGCAAAGTCGTCAAGTGAGTGACCTATTTATAACTAGTGAATCTTGAGAATGCAGTACCATTCGAAGCTAACCAGGAAGGTCTTTCAGGACATGGTGCCCTTTTTGAAAACGGTTTTTTGCATGATAAAGGGGTACATGCATGAAGTACAAAACTAGGCTCCATTTTTTCTGAGCGGCCCTCTGGATGCCAAAAAAGGAGTGAAAAAAATTTCTTCAGAAATCGGAGTTTTCACACCTTCAACGTTCTTTATATCACTCGGTATGTTAAGTGGACGCACAATAGAAGGTTTTCTTCACCTGAACGTTGAAAACAGCGTGGAATAAAGCCAATACCAAAAATTGTATATAATAAGTGCTCAAAAGCACAAGAAAGTTTCATCAGAGTCGTGGAATCCTAGTCGCAACAGCGGTTGGTGGATGTCGGTCGGAACAGCCGTGATGGACTGCCTGGTGGTCACGGTTGTCGAAGTTGGCTGGTCTCGCGTTCCCTCCATGCTGGACTTTTTCATTTAAGCCGATTCATCACTTTTTTTGGGCGATTTACATGTGTCTTGCGCAGTGACTCTTGAAGCCTATAGGGTCGTTTCCCAAATCGGACTTATCTCGCCCCAATCCTGCGATGTTCGTATCCAATGATTTGTTTTTTCAGTTGTGTACGAAATTCCGTTTACAAGCAATAAATAACTAGCAGTGATGGTAAAACTCAATGAAGTATCTGAATCACAGGCGCAGATCACACCGACTGCATCTAACGAACGCCAGAAAAGTGAAGTTGCCATTTTCTTCGCAAGGAACACCCACTCCATTTCCCTTGAAGGCAGATTGCCGGCGTTGAGGAACGTCCAGGATGCTCGTTGACGTATGCCAGTGCCCTGCCCAGCCAGGCATACGCCATGCATCGACGAGATCAAGGGGTGATGCCAGATTGCCCCATGGGCAGGAACTGCGGTGGAAGTGTAACTATCAACCAAACGTGCCGCTTGCTATCATCTCGAAGCTGTCTTCCAAGTGGGAAGCGTGCATGCCGTACTGACTATGGGCTAACCCATGGCCCAATTTTTGAATTCGGGCCGAAATCTTGATCTTCTCTAAAACTGCGGCTATAAGGGTAATTATAGGCGCTGATTACGAATCTGACGTCCATTTTTGATGGAGGCGCGATATTGCGCCATTTTAGCCTCCTCGGGCACCAACTCGGCGCCGCTTTAGCGCCATACAATTTTCGCCCCAATTCTGGGCAGAAAGCTAATCAGAAAGGTTGATGATGACCCTGATTGTAAGAACAGTACCTATTTTTATCGGCGGTAACATTTGGAGTCATTTAACATGCGCTAACATGAAATGCAAAATTTTGTCATCAGCCGGGACCGATCCCTCGACCAATTTTTCATACCTTTTTTGGCACTCACAGGGCCGCTCAGAAAAAATGGAGCCTAGTTTTGTACTCCATGCATGTGCCCCTTTATCATGCAAAAAACCGTTTTCAAAAAGGGCTCCATGTCCTGAAAGACCTTCCTGGTAAGTTC